CACAGTTGAAGAGATAATTAATGAACTGGAAGACAGATCTGAAATTACCCTAAATGCAATGCAGCACAGATAACAGAGATAAACAATATAAAATGGAGGGAGGTTTTTCTGGAGTGAGAACTCAGAAACAAAAACCTGAGGAACCAGGAAGGAGTAATATCCAAAGAGATAATTTTCCAGAACCAATGCAAGACAAAAGCCATTTTCAGAATCACAAGGCCCAGTGAATCCCAACCAGTACAAATAAAATTCACACTTAGACACATCATAGTGAAACAGCAGAACACCAAAGAAGAGAAGAGCCTACAAGCAAGTTGAGAAAAAAGTCTAAGGACAAAAGAACAAGAGAAATGGTATTATTGTACAAAATAAATGTCTATAATTTGAGGCTACAATAAAAGAGACAGAATATGGACAAAAATAACAAGGTGGGAGGAAGATGATTGCAGTAAAAGCCTTCCTCATTTTGGGTGGGGCAGAGATATAAATTTTGAGACATTAAGTTAAAAAACACGTTACGTGTATGGTGATAGGTTGTAATTAGTCTTTGGGTAGTGAACATGATGTAATCTACACAGAAATCAAAATATAATGATGTATACCTGAAATCTATGTTATAAACCAATGTTACCTCAGTAAAATAAAATTAAAATTAAAAACACATGTTAAAATTTCTAGAGTGATCACTATAAGAATAGAAAGTTTAGCTGCCCAACTAGTAGAAGGGAGAAAAATTGAATCATAAAAGGCAAGAAATGGGGGGAATAAAACCAAAGAGGGACAAATAAAAACCTCATAAGAAGATGGTAAGAATAAACCCTATATGTCAGTAATCATAATAAAAGGAAATGGATTTAATTCTGCAGTTAACAGACATATGGTTGTCAGGCTGGGTCCAAAAACCCAAGATAAGCAAGGAGGAAACACCCTGTGTTCATCAACACTTGAATGAATTATGGTATATTCAGACAATGGAAGACTACATAGTAGTGAAAAAGAATGAACTACAGCTGAATACACTAACATGAATAAATCAACATGGATGAATCTCAGTGTTGAGAAAAGCAAGCCACTGAATAGTAAGTATGATTTCATCTAAATACATGTCAAAAACACGCAAAACTAAACACAAAACTAAACATTTTTGTTAGGACATATATATAGGATAAAACCATAAATAAAAGCAAAGAAATTATTAACAAAAAAAAAATCATCGTAGTGGTTACTTCTCAGGGGCAAAGAGGAAAACATAATTAGTGAGAGGTCCACAAGATACACCAAGTTACTAGGACCATTCTATTTCTTAAGCTGAGTAGCAGGTAGGAGGTATTGAATAATTGGGTATTGGTTTTATTTTTCTTTAAACGGTATATATATATATATATATACACAGTATATATACACACAAACACTTTTGTATATTTCATATTTAAAAAAGCATAAACCCATATGCTTCTGAATGCATAGAAACTTTTTAAAAAGATACACAACCAACCATTCATTTGATCTAAGGTTCATGAACTCTTGTTCTTTGATTGTTCCCAGTGTCTGTAAAAGCTGCTGACACATAGGAAGGAGAGACTAACTATTTATTGAATGGAAAAAACTAAAGATCACAAAAAAGAAAATTAATCAGTACGTAATTTGCGCTCAACATCTTACTGGTACAGTTACCTGTTATCAAAACTTAAGGTTACTGGACATGATACCACAGATATCCCCCAAATGGGCTTACTTCCTCAGGGTAACTTGCTCAGTCCTACCTACTTCGTATTCTCATCTCTGCCATTTTCCTAACTATGTGGAACTGACTATGTAACATGTGATAGTGAGTTCTGGTGAATGGGCTTTATCTTGTTTGGAATTTAATGAGAGAGAGAAAACAAAAAAAAACAACTTAAGGTTAAATCCAGAACCAAGTAATTTGTTTTTCTGTAAACTTTTAAAATGCTTTTCAACAATGAACAAATGTTGGTAATGTATAAAAATGGCTATTAGTTATATTTTTTTCTGACTGATACTAGTAATCCATAGTGGCATCATCTTTCAAGTTCAAAGGGCAGCAATACGTGAAAGCAGAAACAGGTAGAAAAAGTGAACATTAATTATTCATTTAATGAATAACTTTGAAGGAGCAGAGTATAAACAGAAAAAATCAGAGATGTTCATCAAAGTTCTGTAATGTTCCAATAGGTTTTTTTGTGGGGCCGCCAGTATCCCATGATTATACTGGTACAAAAAAAAAAATAGAATACCCTTTGCTCTCAATTGAAGATAATGGTGCCAAGAAATGAATAGTTTTGTGAATCAAGCTTCTCATTTACAACCTACTAAACAGATATCCCTTAACCCTTTGTAAATTTAGTCTGGAAGGAGTAATAAGGCAATAATGACGTAAAGAGAGGCAGTACGACATAACTGAAAAACCCTGTTTTCCATTCCCCGCTTTAATGTTTACTAGATATGACCTTGAGTAACCATCTATGTTTCCCTCATTAATAACACACATATTAGCACCAAATTTTCAATGTCTCTAGGCTTAAATGAGGCACTCAAACGTTACATTCCTTTTCTTCTCCTTAGGGTTGTTTAGAGATATAGACACGATGATGCCTGACACAGCAAATGCTTAACACTAGCTTCCTATCTTTCCTCTCTGGCGTTTTTACTGGTCCACTGAGGCACATTAAATAACTGTTAGACTTGCTTTTAGCTGCTGGCTATGTAATCACCTAGAAGTCTTTGCTATTAATGTGGCTTGGTTATGCTATAATCTTAAGATAAAAAGTGAATATTAATGATGCCTCTAAGAACTTTTTACCCTTGGTTCACTGGTGAAAGAGGTAAACATAGGCATCTTAACAATCTTGTGTAATTTTATATAGTTTTACATAACTATGGCTCTATTTCTTATAGATCTGCACTTTTGATTCATGGAAGTAGCTCCTACACTTGGGGTAGGAAGGGTCTGTTTCTATCTAGTTACCGATATGCTACTTTCTCTATGAACCATTACCATTTTGTACTACAAGTGATCCTCTAAACTCGGCATTTTCACAACACTGGTTACGGACGAATCAAAAATTAGCATTTGGCTTACCCTGACCAGTAATGCTCCCCATCTAGCTTCAGCACCTTTGGCCTCCAGTTTAGAAGAACCAACACTGCAAACCAGCAGTCTGAAACCACAGCACATGGGCCAAATCTGGCCCATATTCTCTAAACTTAACTAATGTTGAGGGTGGCCTGATCAGACGGCAAATAAAAGAACAATAGGCATGTATCTTCTACCTTGGTGCCATTCCTTGAGAGCAGAAATAGAAATTTGTTATGTGATTGGATTTTAGTTCAACAACCAAAGTAAACAAATCAAACCACTTCTGTGTAAAGGCATCCCATCCAGGACTTTATACACTTCTTAAATATCTTGGGTATCCAGTAAACTGTGTACGTGTATATATATAAATAATATTCAAGGAGGCATTTATAAAATTCAACTTATATTCCTATTTAGTCTCTGTAGCTACCCAGTGAGTGACTAAGGAGCGATTTACAGGAATTAAGGAATTTGTAATTGCCCCAAACTGGAAACAACCAAAATATCCTTCAATAGGTAGACAGTTAAACAGTGTGGTACATCAATATCATGGAATACGCCTTAGCAGTAAAAAGGAACAAACTACTGATATATATGACAACTTGGGTAGTTCTTAAGGGCTTTAAGGGCTTTATAAGGAGTAAAAAAGCTAATCTCCAAAAGTCACATATTGTATAATTCCATTTCTGTAACATCCTCATAATGACAAAATTACAGAGATGGATAACAGATTAGTGGTTGCCAGGGGTTAGGGCTGGTGGGGGTGGTGTGGACAGGTGTGACTATAAAGGGGTAGCAGGAGGGAGATCTTCATGATGATGATAGTTCTGTATCTCAATTGCAGTGATGGTTACACAAATCTACACACGTGATAAAGGGGCACAGAGGTATTCACACACATTGTACCAAGGTCAACACCCTGGTTTTGATATTGTTTTATGGTCACATAAGATGAAAAAATTGGGGGAAACTAGGTTTAGGCTCCATGGGACTTCTCTGTACTATTTTTGCAATTTCCTGTAAGTCTATAATTATTCCAAAATAAAAAGTTAAAAGATCACACATTTGTATACACAAGGAAATTCACAAGATAAAATGAAACATAGCCAATTTTATTCAAATTCTCCAAAATTTATACTCAATATGTTAATTGTTTCTAAAATCTGTCACCCTTTATATAATGGTTTTATTATTTCATCTTTTTTTTATAGTTTTTTCATCTTTTCTTTACAGTTCTTCAGTAGAAGCCAGAGTCTTGAGTTGCCCAGTTAGGAGCCTAAAACATACAAAGAGAAATCAACAGGGTGAAAAGAGAGTACTTTCTCAATAAGCTAACTTGAAAAAGGTGATACTAGCATTTCCTTTTAGCACTACTCCTGCCAAACTATTCACGAAGATTTTAACAACCTCTGAAATTACCATATGTCATATCCCTCTTAGAACAAAACAAACACATCAAAATACCATCTGATACAGTTTTTGACCAATTATAAAGTATAAAAATGAAAAAATCACCAATATTATAACAAATCAATACAAACTGAGTATACCAAAGTTATTTCAGGCTCAGTTATTCTCAACTTGGTTGGAATAGGCATGGACAATAATTTGCTAATTCTTCCTTCTCTTTTAAAACTGAGGGACTATTCTAAGGACACAAACCTGGTGCTAAAACTTCAATCAAATGAGCTCCTTGAATGCGTCCACAACTGCTTCCTAAAAATTTCATACCCTACAGTTACACATAATCTTAATGGCTACAGACTATTAAAGGTGGTTTGGGATTCCAAAATTACAAGGCCATTCAAGTTCCTTTAATATCTACTATGTAGGATCTCTACCAAAAAGGGGAATGTATTTTTTTGACATAAATATGAGTATTAGATAAAATCAAATTTTATAGGTTCAACACTGATAGATATAATAAAATCAACATTTTTACAGAAGTGTTTTTTTTTTTTTCTGGTGAGGAAGACTGGCCCTGAGGTAACATCTGTTGCCAATCTTCCTCTTTTTAAAGGCTTGAGGAAGACTGTCCCTGAGCTAACACCTGTGCCAATCTTCCTCTATTTTGTATGTGGGATGCCACCACAGCATGGCTTGATGAGCAGTGTGTAGGTCCACGCCCAGGATCTGAATCCACAAACCCCGGGCTGCCAAAGCAGAGCGTGTGAGCTTAACCACTACGCAACTAGGCTGGCCCCCAGAAGTATTTCTTTAGATTTAAAAAGAACACACATTTCAAGCACTTGAAAGAGGTCCACACATGTAAGTTATCATCTTCCAGTATCAAAATGATGTGTTGAAAACTCTGAGGAAATGAGTTAATGAAGTCACACAGGAAAAGTAAAAAGAAAAGAAAAACAGTTATAATAAACTAGGAACCCTTAATTTTTTTCGTTTCCATAACTAATGCATATAATACATCTAAGAAAAGTTCTTTTCAGTTTAGTCATTTCTTAAACAAAATGTTCAAACCCCCAACAAACTGAAATACAAAATCAGATACAACCCAACCCTTATTACTATGTTCTCAAATGAAGTCCACGTAACAATTCTGTTACATTATTGCTAAATTCCAGACAAAAGAGAAAATGTATGGTTCTTACCTCAGACCTACTATTCTGATTAAGCTTCTTCTCAATATTCATGGCCAACATCTGGCTTCTAAATGAAAGGCTTTTGGTCTTTTCAATCACTTGCTGATAGGGCGATACTGCATTGTTACCCATAACCACATGACCCTAAAATGAGACAGAAGGAAATTGATCCTATAACGTGAATGATCGAGTTTCCCAGGTAAGTCATGAGCATGACATCACAACACTACATGACTTGCACATATTTTTATGCACTGTAGAGAGATGACAATATTCATCCAGCAACAAAAAACAGGAGGTTGCTGTTGCCTTCAAAGAACTATTATACATTAAAATGAAACAAAACATTCTTAATAGAATAAAATGTCCTCATGAAAAATTTCCAAGAGTATAAAATAATTAGCAACTGATACCTAGTATATAGCATAGCTAACATAATACTCACTAATTTAGAATCAATCTTGGCATCCAGTCTGGCATTTCTAATCAAATTTACAATCCACCTTTCAGCTTCTTCTGGAGTCATGTTCAATTTATCTGCCAACATGCTAATGAAAAAAGTAAAAATGATGTTAACTGAGTCTAAAAACTTAGTTTTATGTACATAGTCTTTGACCCACACTCTGCATAGAGACTTTTAGGTATTTACAGGTCACTTCTCTTAAATACTCTGACTCTTAATAACTGCATTGTTCACGTTTGTGCTATTATCTTGCACTGTGCCTGACCTACCCCATTTCACCAATCAGATTATAAGATCCTTGAGGGAGGGGCATCATATTCTGCATTTACAGAAATCCTTCCAGCTTCTGTAAAAGTACTTTACACTTAGCAGGTGCTCAACTAGTAAAGATCTAAGAGAGAAAAATGTTTTATGATGTATAATGATTATACAAATTAAACTTACTACAAGTTTACAACAGAAATAAGCATAATATAATGAAAAACATAACTAAAACACAGGCTGCTGTGTATGTTTGTGCTATAAACTGAGGGCATTCCCTGAAATTGTTCACGGTATAACCTAAATGGCCACTGAATTTAAGAGAAAAGAGACAGACACATATATACTCACAGAGTAAATGAGAGAGAGAGAGAGAGAAAGCGGGTAGGGAGAGAGAGAGAAGGAGAAAGCAGGGAGGGAGGGAGATGACAGATAACAAGACCCTGATCTAAAGTTTTGGACATCAATCAATCTGCATTTTATTTTTCCAATTTATGATCAGGTTGAAAAAGAGGTCATTGCAGGACTTAATTTATCAGGACTAACACAAGCACCAGCATTGGTAGTAGGTAAATCAGTCAGTCAGCTGATGGAAGAGTATCTATATTACACATGTATAGTATTTAAGAGTATATATATGCATATATGGGTGTTCAAACACAAACATTAACTGTCCCTCTTTCACCTGTCTTCACTGAAGATATTACATACTTGCCAGGCTTTCTAATGTTATCACCCGTTTGATGAAAAGAACTAGAATACCAATAACAAAATCATTCCTTAGAATATTAGAAACTAAAGTTCCTGGTCTGATAGGATTTCCAATTTTAAAATATAAATATTCAAGACACTGGCGATTGTATAATTATATAATTCCAGAGCTCCCAATCCAGTTAATAAAACTACCTTTTTCGGAATATAATATGTGCTACCCCTATTTTATATGTTTAACGACAAAGAGTTAGAATTTTATTCAAAATATAAAAATTAAGTTAGGAATCAATAAAATTATCACAAACTAAATTACAAAGTAAATCTATGAAGACATGATCATTTCAAATTTATCCTTAGAATATGTTTGGAGTTAAAGACATCATGATGATGAGTATGAACCAACTCAACCATAAAAATCCCTAGATCTATGTGTCAAAATTTTGTTCTCTGTGTTTTTATGATCAGTTTTGCTATAAGCATATATTCGCAGCAAACATAAAGAACAATTAATCCATGACTATTACTTCAATTTCATGGACAGATTTCATTTTATTCTCTTTATCACTGTTCTTTAACTAAACCTCATTTTATTTAAGCTACTAAAAATAGGAAAGTATGTCATTTTACTTAAACAAGCAGACATTTTTCTGACTAGGAAAAATTCCTGCAGCTGGTGTTTCCTGTGGGTTCCCACTAAACTCCTTGTTTCCTGCTGGTGTTTGACTTATTTTAGAGATGCGTAAATTTCATTCTCTTCTACACTGCTCAAGTAAGCAAATGTCTGATACTTGTACCTGAAGCTGCTACTGTCTAAAGGTAATGAAAAGATTTTCCAAAATTTACTCATTATTTTATCACTCCTATACCAATTTGTCTTTTGTATGACTTCTGCATCCCCAAAAATATAATTCTTTAAAGTGAGGCCAAGGCCATTTTACTCTGAAAAGCACAAATGAAACCATTTGTACTAAATATATTAAAACTCCAATCTTCAAGATCTCTATATTCTGCTTTTAAAAAGCAGAACATTATTCCCAGTAAGCTACTATGTATAGTTGGTATCATAAAGATTTTTTTAAAATTATAATATAAAACTTGTTTATGAAGGATCTCTAAGTAACAAAAATTATAATGAAACATTCAGTCTTGAAGCCTAGGTTATCAGATTCCTCTTCTTCTTGCTGCCCATATCCAACTGAGAAATCCTAATAATTATCTCTTTAACCATTGCCTCCTTATCTAAATTCCTTACCAATCTATTCTCATCTTGAAAGACTCTCCTCTTCACCAGCCATACTAACCATCTCTGTTCCTTAAACATATCATGTCTTTAACCACTTCAAGGCCCTTGCACATGCCATGCCTTCTTCTTAAAAGGCTCATCCACCTTTTACTTCACTTAGCTATCCGTTACACGGGTCTCAGCTAAAACAGCACCCTCATAAGCCTTTCAAGACACCTCTCCCAACCATGACATATCTGTTTGATGCTTTCATAGCCCCCAATATTTTTCATAGCATTCATAATAGCTGTAGTTGTTTTGTTAAATATCTGCTTTCATGATAGACTATATATGTAACCCAAGAGCATGAACCACAGCTTTCTTATTCACTGCTATATATCCAGCAATTATCACAATGCCCAGTACACAGGAGGCAATTAATATCCGTATACTGTCTCATTCCTATCCTAGTCACTACCCTACTTCAGGCTCCATTACTATTTCCTAGTATCCTAACTAATCTACCTCTCAAGTCTCTCCTTAATCTATTTTATATAGTTGCCAGGTTAGTCCCAAAACCCAACTAACAAGTTTATTCACAGATTCCTTTCAAAACTTTAATAGAGCCCTTATACCAAAACAATAAAATTCAAACTTCTAAGTTTCTCATTCATGGTTCTCTACAATTTAGCTACACTCTAACTTTCCAATGTCCCATTATTCTCCCTCATGAATACCACATGCTAGCGAAACCAAACCTCTTCTTTCTTCATCATTCATTCAACAAAACATGAACTGGGTTTCCTGCTGGTGACAAAATACAGTCTGTTCCCTAACTTTATAAAGTTTAAGCCAAGGAGTTGGGGAGTAGGGGACAATCACCCAATCCCCAAAATATATAAACTATTATAAGTGTAATGATGAAAAAGTGGAAGGAGCTATGTGAGATGCAAAAAGGTTTACCAGTTCTAGTCTAGAGGTTTGGGGACAGCTTATCTAAGGAAATATTTAAGGTCTGATTTTAAGATAAAAGAAAGAAAATTCTATTCTGTATAATAACTCTACCTAGAATTCTCCAGCCTTCCTCTTTCTTTACAGCCATACTCTAAGTCTCAAATTCCAACATGGCTGGGGCAATTTGGCAACATGCATCAAGACCCATATGTGTCTGCATATTCTGACCCATAATCTCACTTTGGTGATTTACTGTTTTGCATTGTGCCTGCTGATCCTCTACTTATTAAATCAAGTCAAAGAAACACTTGAAATAAGGTCTAAGTATTAGTAAATTATTGATGGCATCTCAAGTTATCTAGACTACCAATCACTATGAGAATGAATTAAAGTCTGTGGCAATAATCCAGTTTCTTTTAAGTAACAGGAAAGTGTACACCGTTAAAGAAATTAAATGATTAATAGAAAGAAATCCTCACAGTCTACAAGTCTCTTATATTCTACTGATTTTATGCAAAAATAGCAAAGATTTAAAAATAAAAACGTATTCTATTAAAGCTTAAAAAACAAAAAGTTGCCTTAAGCTATCCTATATCATGCTTATCTTGTGTTACTTAAAATAATTTAGTTTATCAATAAACAAAAAGACAATGTATTAAAATGCAAAATGTCTGAGAAAAAAATAATTCAATCTAGATTTTAAAAACAAAAATAACTTCCAGATTATTCCGATTACACTAAAAATCCCAACCTCGTCTATAGGCAGCTTGAAGTAGACATTTAAATATTTTGTGTAAATACCTTATACACATCTTTAAGTTGACTACCTCTCCTGCTCAAGTGACACAACAATATGATATTGAATGTGTTAAATAAGAAATATATATTGAACCAAAAAAGACCTCAAATACCCAAAGCAATCTTGAGAAAGAACAACAAAGCTGGAGGCATCACACTTCCTGATTTCAAATTATATTACAAAGCTCTAGTAATCAAAACAGTACGGTAGGGCCGGCCCTGTGGCTTGGTGGTTAAGTGCGCGCTGCGATGCTGGTGGCCCAGGTTCGGATCCCGGGTGCGCATCGAGGCACCACTTCTCCGTTCATCCTGAGGCCGAGTCCCGCATACAGCAACTAGAA